TGAGATGCAGGTGATCGGTATCGGCAAGAGCCAATGATCACCGATCATGCACTTTTTCATGAAAATCGGCCGATTATGATCGGTGACCGATCGATCGGCACACCTCTAATATATAATGATTATTTATTTATTTTTATAGTACCCCCAAGAATTTAAAACTACTTTCACCCCTGGTTACATGTTCAACCATGTTCATACTAAACCTTGTTTATTTCTTGGGCCCGATTGAAGACATAAGGTTTGCGCAATAGAAAATGTTTTTACTTATTCTTATTATTTTTCTAAACAGAGCATGTGCTACCACATGCTAGACTGGAGTGTCTAGTTTCACACAATAATTTCCCTATTTTATCATTGGTCAGGTGTTCTATTTCAGTGATAGAAAGGAGATGGTCAAATATACACTTCAACAAAATTTCTCTGTATGCCTTTCAGGAGGATTAAACCAAAAACATTGGGCCAAGAAGTTTCCTTTATGCAGCAGTGCAAAGCAGTCTCCCATCAACATCAATGAGGACCTGGCTCCAGTCAAGCTGCAGTACCAGAAGCTAAGGTTTGATGGTTGGGAGAGTATGACAACTGACAGCACAACAATCAAGAATGATGGCAAGACGGGTATGAGCATTCACAAAGGAAATTATCTCTAAGTAACATGAAGGAGTGTGTTGTATTATTGTTTGTCAGCCTCCTGCCATTTAGGTTGCAGAGATGTCACAGTGGCCTGATGTTGGAGCCAGCAGATATGTGGGGGCCACATGTACTGCTACATTCTGCATATGTGTATCCCGGTGTATATCCCTTTATTCTATGTAATGGCAGCCCTCTATCTGACAACCAGAATGCAACTCATGTCAAACTATATAGCATACAGTATATAAAAATTGAAATAATAACAATAGCATCCATAATTATGCTGTAGGACAACAATTAGACGCAAATTCAGGCTTTTTATTACTGTTTGTAATGATAAATAGAATATTTGTTTTTGGTACATCTGATAATTGGCACAAGCAATGTATTTTTTTCAAATGTGTTATGAACTTTGAGCACAAAGTTGTCTCTGGTGTAAAATTGAATTTAGAGCCTGAACTCCATGACATTCCTCCTCACACATCCCACATGCAGGTGACATCTTTGTCTTTTCTACTGTCAGTGGCAGTCAATGTGGATGGAGACTTCTACGTCAGTGGAGGAGGTCTCAGGTCAATGTTCAAAGTTGGGCGCATCACCTTCCACTGGGGGCGCTGCAATGCCTCCTCAGAGGGTTCGGAGCATAGTCTGAACGGAGTCAAATATCCTTTAGAGGTAAGACCTAACTCATGAAGACTCAAGTGTGCTGTAGGGTTTGAGTTAACCAAATATATTCCATCTTTGACTGGTTTAAACAGTGATGAAAAATCTGACGACAATCTGTCATTTTGACGGATTACAATTTTTACCCCTGATCACTTGATGCAGACAAGCTGAGATTTTCAACTTTATGTGCAGAGTATGTTACAGAGGTCAAGAAATCAACATCAACATTTACCATCAGAGCATCATCTCTGACCTGGACACTCAATTCATCTTACTATCTGGCCTCTGGCAGTCCACTGAAAAGTTCTGGACAGGATGCTTATTAGCATCTGTGACCACTACAGGAAGCAGAATCACCAGTGCAGAAGGAGCATGTGCTGCGGGATTTTCTCCCACTGAAGCAAGAGTTTGTGAGATCAGGACATTCCTCCTCCTGAGAGTCTGACTGACTTCTGATCACTTGGAGAAATGTTCCCAGACATTTCATTAATCACAAGCAGTGTTGGTCAAGTTACTTGGAAATAGCAATTAGTTACTTAATAGTGATTACGTAACCAAGTTACTTTACTGATTACTTATTTTCAAAAGTAATTAGTTATTTTATTATTCAGATACATTACTTAGTGACCAAAAAACAATACACACTATCCATATACTTTTCAGCCTAATTCTTTTCTTCCTTCATATAACATTTAATCAAATGAAACCATCTCAGTTTAAAACGTAATTTGTTTTGCTCTTTGAACTTCATGCACATTGCATTATCAAAAATTTTATGAAACGCAACAGCCTCCCTCATATTTAAAGAACTTTGTACAATTATTTTTGTACTTACACTCCTTCATTTGAATAGATGTAAATTCAGCGACTTAGTAAAATTTCCATCGCTTAAAAGTTGAAGTGCAGAGTAATAATGAGTTTAAAAAAATCTATTTTCACCTGTTTATCAGGTGAAAATGTTAACTAATGTCGGTATTTCCACGCTGCATAGTTTTGCTGCACTCTCCCATACTTAATGTTGTCTATTGCTGATCTACTCTGTCTGCTTCCATGACGACGGATGCTCATATGTGATTGTCATAAGATGTTCACAAAGTCACAGTTTTGTATTGAAATCTGTTTGCATGGAAGTTACTTATTACTTTTAATGCCCTACTGCCCGTCACTGCTCACAGGTGACTGTACAACTCCATGTGCACCAGGAGGAAGTTGTGAGACTGTTTTCAGACCACAGTTGATGAGTCATTCATAATACAAGTTCCATCGATGTTTTTTTTTTTTTTTTTCCAACCCCATCAATCAAAATGACAGATAACAAAATAATGTAGCGCAATCCCTGCTGGTGTCCAGTGAAAACAGATCAGGCACATAATGACAGTGAACTAGGACCTGATTCAACATCACTCCTACTTCTTTTGGTGCGGATCATTTACCATGTCTCCTGTTGACTGCAAAGCAATTTTTTATTAAACTATTTCCCACTATATATTTACTTCTGGGCAAAGCATGTAGCCCAAGTTGACCACCGACTTACGTGTATTAGTTTATGCCTGTGTGTGTGTTTGTGCTATGATTGGGTGAACAGCGCCATTGTGTAAATGTTGTGAGTGGTCAGTGTGACTAGAAAAGACCTTTATAAGTTCAGTCCATTTAATGCAGCTACTGATAGGCATTTTCTTCTCTTCACTTTTTGTTAGAATTGAATGTTTTTAAACACATTTCAATATTTTCACAAATGGCGAAGTTTTGATGTGTTTGTGTAGAAGGACCCAAATGCAGCAGGCGGAGGCGTCGAGTAAATTTTGTGGATTTTAATGAAAGAGTAAAGAACAATAAATTTAAAATCATGGTGGATACTGGGAACACAGGGAGCCAGAGCAGAACAAAAAAATCACAAGAACCAGGGACAATAAGGAGGTAACTGGATTTAGCAGGATTAGATGGGAGTATCCAACAAGGAGGAACTGAGAATGAGTTGTATATATATACTGGGGAGATTTATGAGGGGAGAGCGGAGAAGGCAGGCTGAGGAGAGAAAGAGAGACAAAGTGGCACAGAGGGTGGGCGTGCGAGTCCCCTGAGAGTACACAGGGGACTATGAAATAAATCTAATATTAAAGAATAACTAGAGCTAAGAAATATAATTAAACCAGAGCAACAAGTATTAACTAGAAACAATAAACATAACTAGAAACACCAATAAGGACTGATCTAAAGTAAAACAGAAATGATCCAATAAAGAAAGAGACTAAACAACACAGAATGATCAAACTAGAATAATAAAAACAGCAAAACAATCCAGTCAAAGTTTAAGTAATAACTAAAATCTGTAGTAAATGTTAATATTCCTTCCAATAAACTGTCAATGTTAAAGGAGAATCTTAGAGTATATGTTTTTTAACATAAAAGCAGTCTGATAAAAATGACCTAGGGAGGGGAGCCTCTCTGTGGATTTTATGTTTTAAGTAAACCTTTTTGGTGTCCAACATATTTTTGCCTCTTTGCATGCTTATCCTGTTTGAAAACTTCTTTTGGATTCTAGAAGTTAGAATCCAAAAGAAGTAATGTTGATACCAGTAATAAACAACCATTATAACAGGTTTTGCTTTTCTCCTGTAGATGCAGATCTACTGCTATGAGGCTCATCAGTTTGACTCTTTAGATGAAACAATCCAGTCCAGTGGCAGAATCACAGCACTAGCTGTTTTGTTTGAGGTATGTTTGGAATGTTGAATTTCAATGAAAATAATCACACTGAAATTGTTTTGTAAATTTATTCAGTGTCTTTTTTTGTAATCAGTTATTTTTATTGTAATTGTTGTTTTACATCCACAAAAATATGCATAATATTATTATACATATTTCTCAAGGACACTGAGCATTGCATATTAGAATATGCAATGCTCAGTGTCCTTGAGTGAGACAGGAAGAAGTGAGGGGTTTTGTCTAATTTTCTGGGCCAGTGGTTCGAGAGCGAGAGGGCAAAAAGTAATGGAGAAAAGGCCAGCCCTGATGAGTACCCCTTACTATGGGAAATAGAGAGGAACCAGTATAAACCATCGCAGACATGTTAGCATAAAAAATCTTCACCATTTGGATAAATTGTGGACTTAGTTTGAAGTTGTCCAAGGTGACCCAGAGATAAGGTCACTCCAGTCTTGACAGACAAGACAGAACATGGGAAATCAGTTGTTTTTGCTGTATGAATAATGAAGATTTTCAGATGCCAATCTGCTTTTTATAAATCCGGTCTGATCATTATTTATCAGTCAAGATAAATATCTACTGAGTCGCATGTCAAGCATTTTCACATAGAATTTGACATCCCCATTTAAGAGGGACAAGCGTCTGTAGTTACTGCATTGAGCTGGGTCCTTATTAGGTTTGAGAAGTAATGTGATTATTGTGGCATTGTTGCTTGAATTAAATGAACCTTTGTCCAATGCCACATTAATCACATCTAACAATGGCAATGTTCCAGAAGGCAAGGTATAACTCTGGTGGGACACTGTCCTAGCCTGGGGATTTGCCTTTTTCATATAGGCAAGGTTTCATAGAGACAAACTCTTCAAATGTAATGGAGACACTAAGTTTCTCTGAATCCTGAGTAGCAAGAGTAGGGAGCTGAAGATCCCGAAAAAACTGCTCACAGTTCCCAGCATTCAACACTACTTCAGATGAGTAATGGGAAGAGTAATACGTTTTGAATACCAAATTAATTTCACAGGGTTCAGTTAAGATACCAGTAGGTGTTTGGATGGACATAATGTTGGAGTATTTCTCATAAGGCCTTAAGGCCGGTAAAAGGCTCGGTCTGGAGCAGGGGTGGTCAATCCCAGTCCTCGAGGGCCGGTGTCGTCCAACTCTTGGATGTCTCCCTGGTTCAACACGCTTCAATCAAATGACTGAATCACCTCCTAAGTGCAGTCAAGTTCTTCAGAGTTCTGCAAATTACCTCATTATTTGAGTCAGGTGTGTTTAAGTAGAGACACAACTAAAAGTTTGAGGACTGGAATTGCCCATCCCTGGTCTAGAGCCATTCAAATAATTCCTTCTAGTTTTGTGAATTAGGAATTCAGCTTTTTGTCTTAACAATGAATTTAGCTCTTTCCTAGTCGTTTGGTATTCCTTTACCAAGCCTGCATTAATTTCTATAAAGGTTTTTACGGTGCTACGAAATAAATTGCAGAATTTTTCATTTCTAAGAAGTGATATATTGAATTGCCAACATGAAGCTTTAGGAGGAGTGTGTCTAAGCATTAGGTGAGCTGATACGTTACTGTGATCCAATGGTGATCAAGGCACATTATGAATTTCACAGAATTAATTAGTGTATGGTAAGTAGGTGCCATTTTTTAAGTATATAAATATGTAGCCACAGAAATGACTTGGCGCTAATGATTTAGAACTGATTCCATTTCGAATCATGCCTTTACTAATCAGTTATTGATAACATTAGAACAACAGTTTAGAGGACCTTACTGTACAACAGCATTAAAGACAATCACATCTTACATGGTGTTTTTGAAAAGGTCTAAAGAACAAAATTATTGATGAGCTGCAATCTGCTAAATATCATTATCATGGAAATATTTTTAGTTGAAGCGTAAAGCATCAATTAACTGATATGGAAAAACAGAAACTCAAAACTTTGAGGAGACTAAAATTACTGGGAGATATTTGAAGGTCACTAATATGTTTTCAATAAGTATTGAAAACAGAAGCATGTGTTAATATTAAAAACTACAACAGTGTAAAGGATTACACTAATTTAAGGGGAAACTTCGGTATCACAACTCAATTTTACTCTTTGTCAGTATTTTTACAGGTGAAATATTCAGGTTTGAGAGTAAATCTCAAATCAGTAAAAACTAATTATGATTTTTGTTTTCCCTTTGGTTCAGACAAGCACTGAAGACAATATGAACTACGCTCCCATCATCAGTGGTATCAACAGTGTGAGCAGATATGGTACAACAGCTTCTTTAGTTTCCTCACCTTCTATTTTGCCCTTCACTTCTTTTGCATGTCTTTCATTGTTTTTCTCATTTGCTGTCTAGGAAAGAGTGCAGCAGTGTCACCGTTTACTCTGCAAGGTCTCCTGCCAAACTCCACAGAGAAGTACTTCATCTACAATGGATCTTTGACCACACCGACCTGCGACGAGACTGTCGAGTGGATCGTCTTTAAGAACAAGGTGGCCATATCTGATGAGCAGGTGAGAAATTAGGTGTCAGTATTAGCAATAAAAATACTTAGCTTTACAATGAACAAATTACAGTAATGGAGAGTTGATAAAAAAGTTAGCTTTACAGGACTAACTTTGCACATTGAACTATGTAAATAGTTCAATATGCAAAGAGCACTAGGTAACCAGTTTGCTTGTGCAGGAAGGTGGATGGTTCATGGTAGGAGAGGTTCTGAATCACATTTACTGTAATGGTCCTTAAAACAGTTTTTTATGCCTTCACTCACAGAGTTGAAAGGGTAAATTATCATTCCACAATACAGGGAATGAAGCAGTGTTGGGTGGGGCAGAGAAAGCTGTCAGCACATCAGGTGTGTTTGTGTGTGAAAGGCTGGCCTGAGAGTATGTGTGTGTGACAGTCATGCATAGGTAGACCTCATGGAAAGCAAACACCGTCATACAAGACTCAGTTTGGACATTAAAGCTATGGAAACATTCACATGTGCACGCACACACACACACACACACACACACACACACACACACACGTAAAAATTCAAAACAACAATAATCATTTAATCATTTTAACAGTAGGGCATCCATATTATTATTATTATTTTGTTTAAAACTATTTCCAGAATGCGGATGGACTCATAAGTTTAAAATGCGAGACTTGAACATCACAGAGGAGACATGGCTTATTGAGGTTCGTGCTACTTCTACACTGGCTGTGTCTTTGAAGTTGTACGACAGGTTCTAACTGGTTTACATTCCAGCCAGGTTCACTCAGTCAGTACTTAATGACTTTAGGTGATGCTTCGAGCTCAGTGTTTTTCGTGAGGTTAAGAGCATATTGTGCTTTGTAACTGATGAGTCAGTGACTCACCTAATGCAGATACAGACAAACTCATAGACAAAAGACTATAATAATCAGATTTATATTCCTCCAAGTTTTCCATACACAAAACTTGGATGAAGCTATGAAAATGCTGGAAGAGAAAGAACCTCTGTGTACAGCTGCTGTGACCCTATATTCATTTGAATTGAATTAATCTTGGTGCTGTGTGAATGTCTTACATCAGGACATAGTAAAAAAGATCATTTTAATCTGTCACAGCATAAAAATAGCAACACATGATCTACCATTTTCTGCTATGGAGTGGTGACCTGTCCAGGTTGACCCATCCTCTCACCTGTTGACTGCTGGAGATAGGCACCAGCACCCCTCGTGAACCTACAAGGGGTAGGGCCTACACCCCTAGTAGGGTCACGAGCATGATAATGGATGTATATATAATTTTCCCTGCCTGTCATGTCATCTGACCTGATTCAAATGTTAAACTCATCCCTCTCATCAGGTGTTTTCCCCTACAGCAGTTACCAAACTACTGATAAAGAGAAAAAAAATCATTACTGCAGAATTACAGGCCAGTCTCCAACCTTCCATTCACCAGTAAAATTATTGAAAAAGCCGTTGGCTTCCTAAAGATGACCAACCACTTTGAAACCTTTCAGTCTGGTTTCCGTGGTTACCACAGTACAGAGACTGCCCTTTTGCTACAGTGTTTGATCTCTGCTGTTAGGAAATACAGAAGTGTCTGTTCCAAGGAAAGTTCATAGTAGGCCAGCTTATTAACATGGCATGTATGGGATTGTTATTAAAGGGAACCACAATTACTTGTAACAATAGACTTTTTTTGAGAAATATTTATTTCAAAAGTAAAACCAACACACTAATGATACTGTAGGTTGTTTAATTTTTATATATTTAAATAAAATGTTGACACACTGACATCATGTTGTTTACACTGAAATTCATTATGGGTAAATTACATATGATAAGTCCGATTGAGTTAGCTTTGTCAAGCCAAATCAGAAATTAGTAACGTCTTTAAACCTTTTCAATTTGAACCGGAGCGGATTGAAATTGATGGTCCTCCTAATGAAGATGAGGAGAACCAAACGGGGTAAGAGGAAAGAAGCCAGTGTTTGTGTTACTGCTGCCACCTTCAGCCTCATGAGTGAAACAATGAATAACACGTACCTCTGGTCAGACTGTGTGATCCGGTAAGTAGTTCTAAGTAGCTCTGTGTCAGGTCTGGTTTTCGGTCCGGTTTCGGATCCCTGGTTTCACAATCGGTATCGGTGGCATTTCAAAGAGCTTCCTGTCTCTGATGTTTCTGTTAGATCCTTCACAGTTTTCCTCATACAAATGACTCTACATCTTCTGGAGAGAAATGTTGGGGACACAAATGTGGGTCCTTTGGAAGTTGCATTTGGCTGAACATTGGTCTCAATGCATCATCCAAACAACTCATCCAAACAGGCACTTCAATCTTTTGCATGATCACAAACATTAATGTTTAATAAGATGGCTGTGGACTGCAGATTCCTGCAGATGTTGATACTTTGCACAATTTGTAAAACAATGTCTAATTTAACCTGATCCAGCAGGACTTGCTCAGGAATCCATGGCAACTGTTCCTACTGACAAATGGTCAGTAGGACACTTTCAGAACACTTTTCCAGGTTGATAGTCAGAATCATTTGCTTCTCTCAGCTAATAGGTACTTTTTCTATCTTGTTTGAAATAAAATAAGTAAATGCTTTCCCTTTGTGACATGGAGTCAAAACACCTGATTACACCAAACCTGTCCGATGGTGGTCACCGTATTAATTTGATGAGCAGCATCTCGCATATCCAGTAAAAATAGTGAAGCAGGGCATTTACATGTCGCTTCTACATATTGGAAAAAATGTGTTCATACTCAAAAAAAAAAAAAAAATTTTTTTTTTTTGGAGTATGAAATTAAAATGCTTTATTTCACCACAGCTATATTTAACAAGCTGTCAGACACATCATGCTTCCTACTGCTATTATTGCTCTAAGGCTACTTTGGGTCCTCCTGTTTACAGCTGGAGATGTTCTGTGAGGTGATGACGATGCAGCAGGCTGGATACGTTATGCTGATGGACTACCTGCAGAACAACTTCAGGGATCAGCAGGAGCAGTTCGTGGGACAGGTGTTCTCCTCCTACACAGGCATTGAGGAGGTGCAAATTCCAGGTTGGTCAAACTCCAGTCTGAACATTTTGCAACTGTTGAGACTGTTTTTATGCAGCAGTTTAAATTCTGCTCATCTGTATGCTGATGACATGCGATTGTATTACTCTTCGACCTTCCAAGATGTTCAAACTGTCTGAACTCAACATGGCTGAACAAAAACTACCTGCAGATAAATGCAAACAAAATGAATTCATTTCAATCAAATAGTTATGAAACCAGCTGAATCTGCCCTCTTGTGGTCAAAGCTGGGAAGTCACTGTTATGTGCTTTGGGCACATTATGATAATTTGTCTATTTTTTCTTTGTTTTCTTGTAGACTTTACTAGAATGACCTTTTGTTAAAATATTTTGGAGTCTGGTTAATTTCTTATTTTTGGTAATTCATTTTATTACGTTAATTTGTGGCGCTGTTGGTCCGCCTATAAATAGGCTGGGTTTCGGCATGTTGGGGATCTCCGCTCTTCCACTCGCTTCCGCTCGCTCCACCACCACAGGGGACGTGTCTTGACGCAGTGCGCGCTCGTCCAGTCGCTGTGGGCCGCAGCTGAGGTTTCCAGCCTGCTATGTGGTATTTCTGTTAGCCTTTGTTTGTTTGTTTTTTCGTTGTGATTTTGGTCTGGTGGGACCGGTTGTCCTGTTTTCAATCTTTTGCATTAGGTTCCTTTTGCTTTAGTCCGGTACTAGTAGGGGCTTCGACGGCCCTGTATAGGGTTGGCCCCTGTACCATTCTGTACCATTTTGTTCTGTTTGATCGGCTCACCAGGTCCAACTTTAATACTTTTGGGGTTTTGTATTTCTTTTTTTGGGGGGGGGGTTAAGGGACGTATGGACGTAACATAACTAAATCATATTTCCATGCATCACTAAAATTGTCCTTAACTGTTTTCCTGTGAGAGCAAATGAAGGACATAAAGGTTTTTCTCCTGACTGATATGTCTGGGTATGCGTTGTCACATAATCGCACACAAGAAAGAAGCTGTGAGTAGTGGGAGCAGAGATTTTATTTCAACTCTGCTGAGAAGGAAGTGTGTCAGTGTTTGCACAGTCTGAGCCTCCTGCTACCTATTGTAACAGATCCCTTTGTCCCTTTTAATCACTGATAATCCCAGATCTGATTTATCTTTCATCTGTAGTACTGTTAATCTTATGTTTGACCCAGAATCATTCTGGAAAAACACAGTAAATATTTTAACTCTTTCCTGTTTTGTTTAAATTTGAGTATTCCATATCATATATACGTTCTGGCTGCTAGATGGTAAATCTGAAATGGATATGGTGGCGATAAAATGTTGAGAAGTCAGAAAAGACTTCCTGTCATCAGAAGCTTTAGCAGAAGGGCTTGTTAGAGGCTAAACATAGCTTTAACTCGGATAAGCTAATCTCTCATCAGCTTAGATAAACTGCAAACTCCATTATGCAGTCAGATGGAAGCCAGTTATTTTGTTTCTGTACCACGAATGTCATATGAATAAACTTTACAAAGACACAGAGGTCCAGAAATAAATCATCAGATTAACCAATCAGGGACCTCAGCCTCAGTAACACTCACAACCTTTCCCAGTACTGTAGAAATGTTTTGGAGGCCCTGTGTCTAATAACGGTCAGACCAATAAAATCAGTTACAAGTTTGATAAAGACAGCTAGATGTGTTCAGCAGCAGCCTGGTATACTTTATCTGTATCTATTAATATGGCTTAAGATTTCAATTAATCGTGATAAAAGAAAAACAACAGTCATCAGGAAACGTCCTTACTGGTTCTTCTGGCCAGTTTTTGCTCAGCTTCGTCTGCTTCAGTCTGACATGAAAAAAACTATTTTTGAAATACTATAATTTTTTTGAATACAGCTTGTTGTTCATAAAAGCATGGCATATTCTTTAACCTTTCTAAGCAGGGGAGCTCATATAACTCCTGTCTTCTCTTCTCTGGTCGCCAGTAAATTTCATACCCACAGAGTTGCTTAGTGGCTTTCAGTAAGTTTCTAGGATTTAAACAGGTAATGTTTCAGGTACAGAGACCCTTTTGACCTTAATAAACTCATCGTCCAACATCAGTGTACTGGTCTAAGCTTTTTCACCAAGTTTGATTGCTGCTCAGCTTTGTAGCCACCACTCTGTGTTGTTGATGCATCAGGCCTCATCAACAGCCTTTTTCTGTTCCTCCACCTTAAAGGCAAGGTGACAAAAATAAGGGCAAGTTCTGGTTCTAAAGGATCCTGTCACAAGTTGCTGCCACTGCTCTCAAGGTTTTACCCACAGTTTGTTAGGTTTCTGGGCTGTTGGGATGTTTTGTAGTTTGACTTGATTCTAGTTTCATTATTATTTTGTGTTAGTTTCTTAGTTTGATTAGATCTGTCTTATTCCTGCTTTCCTCTGGTTCAATTCTTCTTAGTGTTTCTAGTTATGTTTATTTCTTGCTTACAGTTATTCTTTGTCACACTAGTTTTATTAGTTTTTTTTTTTTTGTCTAGTTATTCTTTGTGTTAGAATTATTTTTTGTTCCCATCTGTATTCAGTCTCTCTGTCCCTCAATCTTCTTCCTGCTCCCTCCACTCACACCTCAGTCAGTTAGCTCATCAGTCCAGGTCTTTTGTTCATTCACCTCCCTGGTACTGAAGCTTCTCATTCTTAATCACTCCTCACTGGATCCTTTGTGTACTCATCACTTTCCCATGTCTCCTTAGTGGCTCTTTACCGGTTGCTTTTAATTGAACTTTGTGTTTTGCGTTTGTGCCCTGGCTTGTTGGAATCTTGTAACTTTATTGCCGTTCATCATTTTCATTAAATTCCTTTTTCATCATCTATTTCTGTTCAAATGCAGAACAAAAATCCACTGTTCTGCATTTGGATCCACAATCATCCAGCATCACATCATGACAGTTTATGGACCGCTTTCTCCTCTCTTTGTGATCATCATCTACAAAAATGTCCTGATATTCTGCTCCACACACACCTGATCTATGACCTTCACAGTAATGCATTTGGATATGTATCTTTCAGCATACCAATGCTAGCGCTCTCATTCACCTGTCCCAGCAACTTCACAATGAGGCCATGACATTTCTGTCTGGGTTGCACTTACCTGCACCTAACCCTGCCTTCTATACAGACCTTCACCTAGATTTCACAATTACTTGACTGCTGATCTCCTACAGCTTCATTATAACCTGAGGTGGGCAGAGAACCCAAAAATTGTACTCAAGTGAAAGTAACATTACTTTAATATATTTTTACTCAAGTGAAAGTTAAAAGTAGTCATCCAAGAATTACTCAAGACTAAAAAGTCCACTCAAGTATTGAGCAATCACTCAAATTACTAGTTGCTTAATATTTAATAATTACATAATCTGACCAAAATGTAAAGTTAAATGGAAATGTTTGTATTTTAAGAGCAAAAATGACTAATTCATATAAATAACAAAAACAATTAACAAAATCAGGCAAAAGAAAACCTTTCCATATCATATTTTTTTTCAATAAAAATCTTCTGAAATTTTAACAAAAATTGCAGGTGTGTGTCTGTTGAAGTTTTGGTATTCTTCAGTGGGTTGGAAATCCATAAATTTTACTCAAGTAAGAGAAGCAATGCTTTATGATAAAATTATTCCACTAAAAGTAAAAAGTACAGCGTAGTAAAAATACTCCTAAAACTAAAATGTGTGCTGCAATTGGATGGGTTCTATCCAAGCACTGCAGGCCCAAAGCTACAGCTGTGTCTGCATTGTTGGCACAAAGTCAAGCTTGTTGCCAGTGTGATCAATGTGATTATCTGCAGCTTTTGGCAGATGATCTGGTTTTACTGGTTTCTTCAGGGTACAACCTTCAGCGTGTTCTGGAGTGGTTCACAGTTCAGTGTGAGGTGACTGGGATTGGGAGTGAGTTTCTGCCTCAAGTGGAGCAGTTTAAGTATCTTGGTGTCTTGTTCATGGTGGTTGGATGAAACAAGAGATGAACAGACAGATTGAGGTTTTTTCTGCAGCAACATGGGCTCTGCTCTGATGTGTTATGGTGAGTGAAGAGTCAAAAAGTAAAGCTTTCAGTGTACCAGTCTGCGTTATATCAGACCCTCATCTTTGGTAAAGAGACGGAAGACCAGGAAGATAGAGCCCATCACCCATCACCTAGTTCTAAAGTCCTTCCACGGCTCCCTGGAGCTCAGAGAATATACGCTAAAACACTGTTAGTTTTAAATTACTGAACAGTTTAGCACCACAATATTAAACATCTGCTGTTGTTGTACCAACCTTTCAGACCTCTCAGGTTTTCTGGTTCTGCTCTGCATCCCCAGAACCAGAACCAAACGAGGAGAAGCAGCATTCAGCCTCTATGCACCACAAATCTAGAATAAGCTTCCATAAAACTGTAAAACAGCTGAAACACTGACTTCCTTTAAGTCTAGACTAAAAACCCACCTGTTTAGAGTTGCTTTTAAACCATAATTAATAAAATACTGAACAACATTTTTGATGTGTAATGGTGGCACTTGACAAAATGTAAAATTGTTGACTGTAATTTATGAATTTGCATTTTTATTTTTATTATGTAAAGCACTCTGCACTGCCTTGTTGCTGGAATGTGCCATGCAAATAAACTTGATTGATTGGTTACTAGTAAAACATTTTGAAAATTACTTCAGAATTATTCACAACTATGTATTCATCTTTTCACATAAAATCCAAATAACATATAATTAAATTTGTGGTTAAAATGCAACAATATGTGAAAATGTTCAAGACATACTTCTGGAAAATACTGTGTTCCAGTACACTCCTGCTAGACGGTCAATGATATAAGTTACATCTTTTATAATAAAATATTAGTTGGTGCTGATGTTTAGTTTAAATTTTTGATAATTCTGTATAATATTAGAAACATGCATGTTATCTGCTTGTAAAACAAATTATCCAAATTTTGTGTGATGCGGTGATGTTGGTAGGAACAACTAGAGTCTCATACTGATGTTAAAGTAGATAAAAAATAAACTGGTTCCAATGTTTTTTTGCGTCAGTAATGTTATGCCACATCTTCTAGCAGATAGCAATTGCTTCCTGATGTCTTTATTTAAATTTGGTGTGTGTTTTTCTGTCAGTGTGCAGTTCAGAGCCTGAGAGCATCCAGGCAGCTCCCCAGAACCTCAGCAGCCTGCTGGTGATATGGGAGCGGCCACGGGCGGTGTATGACGCCAACATTGAGAAGTACTCCATCGCCTACCAACTGGCCAAGGCAGAGGACTCTGTCCTGTCTGAATACCTGACCGATGGATATCAGGATACTGTGAGTAATCATCCAAAAGTTAACCATACAGAAACTAGAGACAAGAGCACATCATTCAGACTGAGATAAGCTGCCAACTGAATCAAAGTAAAACATTTATTATGAATCACACTGTAGTTTATATGTATTAACTGATTATAAATGTGTCTAATGAATCATACTAACACACATATGCAGACAAACAACAATGTTTTCCTAGAAACTTCAGCTCCAGTTTTACCAGATACAAGAGTTTTTAGATGGCAGCTACAGTATGACCAAACTACTGTGAGAAATGAAAAATTAGTTTTGAACTAGTTGGGTTGATTAAACTGTACGGTCAAAGTGGATCTCATCTTTCACCACTAGGGGGCAATACTAGATGACTTATTGCCCAATTCTACCTACGAGATACGAGTGGTGGCCATCTGCACCAATGGTCTGCGTGGACGCGTGAGTGACTTGCTGACAGTTGTCATGCCCTTCGATGACCTTGGTAAGAGCGACCGCGCCTGATGCCAAGCATAGATGCTCCTAGATTTCTCACTCAGCTCCCCGGTTTCATTTAGCCTAAAAGAAAGGAGCAAAAAGCTGTCCTTCTTGCTTCTTATAACATGTTCACAGGTCTTTATCATTGATGGATGGAATTTATGCTTGCCTTACTTTGCCATACCCTAACTCCAGGCTGGTCTCCTGCAACTTTTAGATGTGCCTCTACTTCAACACACCTGAGTCAAATAATGAGGTCATGAGCAGGACTCTGGAGAACCTGACTGCAGTTAGGAGGAGATTCAGCTGTTGGATTCAAGTGTGTTGGACCAGGGAGACATCTAAGAGTTGCAGGACACCGGACCTCGAGGACCAGGACTGCCCACCCCTGTTCTACATCATGCAAACCAGACTGATCTACTTCCATATTTTGACGTAATATTTCGGTACTATTCTGAGCAACTGGCCTTCTTGTCTTGACACAACTATGACATGAAAGAAATCCTTTTGCTTTCTAGCACTTTGAATTGTCCTGTCCTGGATTATTTATTTATTTATATTCATAGTTTATGCTTTTTATATTCTTTACATTCCTTGAATTTGTTATTGTCTTATACAAGAATAACAATTTAATTATCAGAAAATGAGCCATAGTAAGTAGCCTGAAAAGCCTGAAATTATTATTTCTATAAAAAGATTCTGAAAATATTTTCTTTGATAACTTCTCTTCCATTTTTTGATGTTTCCTGATACAGTTGTATTTCTACAATAGTGAAGTTAAACTGTGGGTATTTTTCTGCTCTACATTTCCCATGACAGAAGTGTGTTCAGACTGAAGTGGAGTTCTGCCGTTTTTATTAGCAGTCACTGTCTAACCTGTGTATGAAAGCTGAAACGTAAAATATCTTAATCTTTTAAATCTTGTCTTCATCTTTATCTCTCTCTCCCTCCTCCATTCTCTTTATTCTGGGCTTTCTCTATATTTTAAAATGATTTTATCTGTTATTTAATTTTAGCCTGACGGTGTTCTTTTCAAATATGTTTCCCACAGATTTCTGTTTTTCTAAGAAACAGTTCATACCTCACTTTTGTCCATTGGTTCATGTTTTGCGTTTCTGGCTTTGATTTTTCTTTTGCACCTGTCCCTTCTGACTCTTCCTGTAAGATAGCTGTCTGTATGTTTCCAGATTTAGTACATGTAATCATAGAAATGGCAGTGATTGTGATTTTCAATATTTTAGTTGTAATTTCTGTTAAATAAATTCTTTATCTTGTTAAGAAGGGAAAAATCTGCATTCTATTTCATTGTCAATCAGTAGTATTCAGGCCCGCATAAATGTAATAATGTATGAGATGAGAATGCAGTGCCATTGAAACAGACTGTTGCTTCCAGTTCAGTTTATTTTATGGGGTTTTGTGGATAAACAGGTATTTGATAACTTTAAAAATATTGGTTTTTATCAAGTGGTTAAAATGGTTATTTTGAGTTGGAACCAAACACATCAAAGTTTCACCATCTTGAGAAAACACCCGTCTCAAATGTCATCACATTTCCTCTAAATGCTGCTTTATTAAGACTCGCTTTAATCTAATTATTGCATTGAATAAACAAAAACTGTTCACAACAAATATGATGGTGAAACTTATTTGACATGTGCTCAGACGTGCTTTGACTGAGCACATCAAATAATTCCATCAAGAATGTTTCATGGATGTCATTATGCTATAAAACCTTCGAGTAATATGGAAAATTAAGCTGCTTAAAGACTCTACTTTTCTTTTTAGCGTTACATGTTTGTTGTTATGACAACAAGAAATAAGTCAGAATGAAATTAGTCCTCTGAGTTTATGCACAAAATGATTTTTATGCTTGAATGTACACTATATTAACAAAAGCATTGGGTCACTTACTTCTTCATACACATGATATTTAAAGACATCTCATTCCTGATCTGTAGGCTCACCTGTTCCTATCACAACATCAGCTCTTATTGAAAATGTGTCTCAGGACTGGGAGTGGGTTTAGCAGACATTTTGACCATTCTTCAAAAAGTACATTGGTGAAGTGAGACACTGATGTTGTTCACAGTTCTCACACTAATCAATCTAAGTGTCCTTTCAGGTTGAGATCATATGGAAGCCCATTTCCGCCACTCTGTTAAAAAATAATAAAGTATCTCATTATAATGAGAGAGCATCTCAAAATAATGAGATAATGTCTCAAAATAATGAGATTGTATCTCATAATAATAAGATAGTATCTCATTATTAAAAAATCAGAAAACGATTTTTTATGAATATGAATGCAATGTAACAAGTACAACTGTCAACACAGTTGTCATAAAAAGATACAACAATAAATATTTCCTATTTTTGTTTTTTATGGCTGTGAACTTTTAAATATTTCCCACAGTCATTTTCACTTTTCCTCTTATGATTTATTATGTCAGCTAACAATTAACATGTTAATTATGGCATAACAAAAGTCAGCTACATTTTGTTGTCTGGCATCATGGCTGCTCCCCTGAAAGTCAACAGATCTGAAAATGCTTCTGGATGTGTGGTCGAATAACTCTACTCCTTACAATAAGACATTTCTTTGGCAATAATAATTAAGTAATTGACATTAAATGCTGCACATTTTTAACCAAAAAAAACAGTAAAGTAGCCATATTTATTTTTTTTTATGTTTGAGATAATGTGGACAATGTCAATTCTGTACTGATTACATTACAAATGATAACTTTAAAAAGATGCTTCATGTATAACTAAAATGTACATAAATGTGTTCTATCAACTGAAAGTCATTAAGAGATTAAAGATTATATGTAGGGAGTGAAAGGACCCCTTAGTAATTCACATAAAATAATTTTGAACAGTTTGTGCTCTATGATTTTTCCAACTTCAACTTTGAATATGTAAAAGTCCAAATGTCATTCATAAGTGACAACACCTCATGGCTTACAAATGCCTAAGACAACACTTAATACAAAATGTTTGTATTAAGTACAAACATTTTGTACTTAATCCTAACAGAAAGTATTAACAATGCAGTTTTTTGCAGCAAAAATCACTGCAGATTCCAAATCATTGACATTTTTAGAAGAGTAGTGCTAAGAAGCCTTGTTGAGTTTTGACAACCTACCCTTAAACAAACCAACAGCTGTGCTGCACAAACCAGCATTTACCTATTACAAACAGTTGATCCTTTTTATTACATCTGGAGAAAGTTTGGGAAGGATAATGTCACCCAGGTAAAGTGTTATCTCTAAAGCCTTAAACTCTAGCAAATTTGGGGGAAAATCCTCAAAACATCTACTTAGATCTTGATAGGCAACTTGTTACTTTAAATAGCGACCTTAATCTCTTTTTTTTTCTTTTCGGAGTTCCACAACTATGTATCTCCACCCTCTACCTCCACCACTTTCAAAACTTTAAATAATGTCCATGACCCATACGTTAGACTCCAAAACCTTGTTTATTTCAGCACTGAAATCTGGATACCTGTCATAATAGATTGACAGCTCAAGGACACAGATCTTCTGAGAAACCCTTGAATCTTTGTGAAATCGATAAGAATTTTCTTATCCAGGAACAGGTCTGAGCCTGTGCAGAACCTTAGAAACAAGGACAGATGCTGCAAATCTGCATTCCTGATATACGTGCTAACGTACTTTTGAATATCCTTCTGATGAATATTCATTTCCTGAGGAAAGACAATGGACTTCAAAACTTTTCTTGCACTTGGTTCCAAGTTTTCATACAATGAAGAAAGGTCCTGGAAGCTGTTCCCGGTGATACTGAGTGTTTTGGCCCACTGTTCAATAACGTAAGCAGGCTCTTGGACAAGTGTTTTGTGTGCAAGCTCCTGGAGGATTTCATTTACATTGCTGGCAGTGGGCATTCGTCTGCAACTGTAGTTATCAAGAATCTCTATCAATTCTTCTTTGTCAACACTGCTGAAGTCTGACTGCCACGACTGAAACACAAAACGCTCAGATTCAGGCATGCACTTAAGGAAATTCTCCACCACCTCACTTTTTACCTGTCCAAAAGCTGCTTGCTCTAGTATGACAGGTGCAATCTTCATAGGAAGATATTTCTCTCTTGTCCATCCAAAAACAATTAGTCAGCTTACACTCTCCCACTGCTGTTGTCCATAATCATGTCTCAGAAAAGGTACTTTGTAAGTGTTTCCTGTAGTACACTGGTCATAGAATTCTTTCCAGAATTCAGAAAGACAGTCTCTAACGACTCCTCCGTCATCATAACCCATCTCAGGTGTTCCATCTGGCAGGACAAGTTGGATTTTGAAGTCTCTATCTAGAAGTCCATCATCACAGAAGTGTGCTATGAGCTCAGGAAGTACCTGACCTCTGTGAACTACCAGTATCTTCTTCACTGCCTTGACAGATGATGAGAATTGAGGGGATATTGGCAAAGTGTCACCCAAAATCTGTGGCTCACTGTCAGAAAACGGTCCTAGAAACACTATGTTACTGCTATCCAAATCCTCCTCCCTGAGCTCTGCAGAATGAAGTGAAAAGTTAATATTGTCATGATTTGTTATGTTTCCAACAAATATGAAGTCTTCTGTGGATATTGTAGATTGGTTGGTCGTTCCAACATTTACAGCAGATGAAGAGGAGGGCTGATTCAGAGAACTGTCTTGATCCTGAAAAAAAGGTGAAGACAAAACTTCATCTTCACTGACTGACTGGTTAGCCTTCTTTTTACGGGTGGTCAGGTAAAACCTGAGAATAGTCGGTTTTTGTAACATGAAACATTTGTCCAACATTGGTTTTGTCATCAGTTGCCACTTCCTGATAATCTTTCAGATCTATTTCAAAATCTGCTATGGATCCTTCTCTATTTCTCCCATTTGGAAAGAAAAGGCCAACAGCCATCTGATTCTTTTTCCGTACCGCAGCTATGAACAGTTCTTCTTTTACCCATCTTTGATTTCAGGCGCTTAAACAGTTTTAATTTACAACTGTTAGGGGGGCC